TTTTTTTTATTAAAAAGCAATGCTTAACATTTTAATACTACTATGTAATGTTATCTCTAAAAATATAACTGGGATAAAATTAGCAATACCCACTAGGTGACACTACAAAACACAGACTTTGCACATTATGAGATCGCTAAATACCAATATTAAAATATGGAGGTATGTAAAAGGTCTTTGCTTAAAAGAGAAATACTGCAAATAATATTTTATTTATTGCAGAAATGAAGAAACAATAGGAACTGACAGCCCTACATTTTACTTTTTTACCAAAATAACTTAAATGTTAAGTTCCAATGGAAATATAATTAGGGCAAGGAGAAATGTTATTATATTTACAAGGTACAGAACCATTTATGTAAACACACCTGCACGGTAATATTGAAAAAAAAAAAAACAGACATAATTATAATGCTACAAATGTACATGTTTAAGAACCAGTGTAAAAAAACTTAGCACAGTGAAAATAAACAATAATTTAAGAGCTGTCTTGGTTTTTACATTTTGATGACGTCATCATGGTCAAAATATAGGGTCTGTCTCTTATACCCATCTAGATGTGTATAAGAGACAGACATTACCAAGTATATTTCCTTGCTAGCCTAGCTAGCCTAGGCCCTGGCCTATGCTAGCTCGATTACAAAATAAATAATAAAATCGTTCGCAAATAATAGGCCTCATATAGGCTACGACCCTACCCTACCTAGTAACGCTAGACTTAGGGTCTAGGCCTATTAGGGTCTAGGCCTAGCCCGAAAAAGTACACCGGTCCCGCCGCCAGGCAGAATCATGAGCATGTGGTGAAAACAAGGGTGAATTTTCTAACTTCTTAAATTTCGTGATTTCTTCGTTGCTGGCCTTGAAGCAAAAAAATCGGTTATCCTTTCTCGGCGCTTCATCCTCCTAGGCTATTTTTGGCGTGTCGCATGTCCTCAATCCCAGAGAAATGAAAAACTTTTGTGATGACGTCGTGCCAAAGTAAATAAACTCCGGAGCACGCCATTGGTCAAATAGCCTAGGCAACAAACCTCTCATTAATATTCATTTTGAAGTCTTGCTGGTTACGTCATTCAGCTGGCTGCAGCTTTGTTTTGATTTCTACGATCGGACTACGATCGATAGCGACAAATAAACAGTGCCAAAAATGCTCCCATTTTGTAATAAATTGCACTATTTTGGAAACGGGGGATCGTTTTCTGGCTAAGGGGGTTCGCTGGCAAAAGGGGGGTTCGCTGAAAAAGGGGGGTTCGCCCGAACCCCTAAAAACCCCCCTGGCTACGGGCCTGCGTTGTGCAAAGCACCAACCCTAAGGAATGGGTGTGTAGTCGATTGTAAAATAAAATTATACGTCTAAACAAATTACAACTTTTATATCATGCAGTGTTTTCATTACCATTTTCTCTCTTCTCTCCACCCTTCATTTTCTTTTATTATCGTTCTCAATTGTTTCAGGAATGTGTAGCGAAGAGCTCTATTTTTTAATACAAAATTTAAAATATTGTTTTGTTTTCTTTTTTACATTCTGATAGTTTTGCTTTCACGTTTTATTGTGATTGCTCAATGTCCCTAAAAAAAAAGCCATGTATGATTGGCTTTCACTCTTGTTAGAGAATATTTTAAATTAGAAAAGTAATTAATTACATCATATGTATTTGAAACACTGTAATGTTAAATTTTAAAATGTTTGCTTTTTTTTCTATTGTTTGTTGTCCTTTTTATTGCTGTCGTGACTAGAGTGCCCAAAGTGAATATTTTTTCTTCCGTTTTGCCATGAGTCTAGGAAGTTTGTATTGGCTTTTCTCCAGGTCAGGAAGGGAAGTATAGGACTATAATTAATTGTTGTTAAATGAACCACAGATCATTTCAGTCAATATGTTGTGTTTTGTTTTGTTTTTTTCTTTATCTGTTTCAATTACTTCTATTTGTTTTTTGTTTTTTTTAAAATTTCGAATATTGCTTTGTGAAGTGAATGAACCTTGAATTTATTTCTAAACAATGCTTCAACATCTGGGATTCTAAGTGCAATTAGGAAAAATTGAAGGTTAACAGTATTATGTTCATCTCAGAAGTCATTGTAAATAACAATTTTTTTGTATATATAAATATTTTGATATGGATTTAAGATTATTTTTGTTATCCTATAGGTTGCTTATTCCATTATGTTTGGCCTTTCAACTGTACTTTACAACTGTTACTGTCATTGGGATCAAGGACGCTAAACCAACCAAAACAGAATGCAATGGTACTAGAATTATATTTGTTTTAATTTAATCAAATAAATTTTATTTTATTCAGTTTATATCTTTTGTCTTTCTATAAATTGTCTTTCTATAAACAGGCCAAAAGAAGATTATATATTCCAATTTTTTTCCCAGTAACTTGAATGCTCTGGAGGGAAAAATATTTTTGATACTTTGTACAACTGATTTTAGTAAGGCACAAAAAGAAATATTTGACAAAAAAACTCAGGAAAGGAACGGTTAATGAGATACAGATCTTTGAATATTTAAAAACTGGTGGGGGGTGGGGGGGAAGGTGGAAGAAAGGATGAATTTTTAATAGTCTTTTGTTAAGTAATATATATGCTGTAGTCAAATACATGTCACACGTTTAGACTCACTTAATTAACTGAAACAAGAATTTCCTATAAACATATTAGACAGACATGCTTTATTAAGGTTGTCTGTAACTAATGATGGTATGGGAAATGTTTGGAAAATTCCCCACAGTTAATTACATTTCTAAATGACGTCAACACTTACTTTCAATCTCCTCCACAAACAAATAACTTGCATCAAGGAGAAAGAAAGATTTTGTGGATTCTGATTTCAGTCAGTATGTCTCTGAAAGGCTAATGTCCTGCATAATAAGAATAACAACTTTACAACTGATAAACACTTCAGAGTTAAATGTTCTATAAAAAGTTACTTAATCAAAAATGTAATGATTAAATAGGTGATGAATGATTGAGTGGATTGCCATTGTCCCATAATGTATTATATATTTTATTTATTTTTATTTATTTACTCATTTTAACTCACCCGCAAATGCAGTGCATTCAGATTTACTACGTTTAAAACAATACAAAACTACATTAAAAATTAGTGAAACAAGGAAACTAGGTTTACTATGTCTGTTTGTAATATAGAAAATAGGTCTTTTCCTCATTGCCATCAAAATGAGAAATAATATGGAATTTAGAATGTAACGAACAAAATCATATATTATGAAGTTTAAAAAAAAAAATCCCCTGACGTTGCTAAGACTCGAACCTGTAATGGATTTGGTGTGGAAAAACGCGACCCTGCAGAGTTCTGTGCATTTATGAGATCATTAATATTGTGTAATTTCATAGGATGAGAGCAAAAAATGTCTATGCATTACTTGGAAATTTTGAATTTAACCAAAGAACATAAATAGCAGAAGAATGAGCTCTTCTCGTAGTTTGCATTCAATTTGATGGAACGTCTGCCTTTTCTAGAATGGAGGAAAATTATTTCATGGAGTGGAGAAATTAATGAAAACAAATGAACCAGAGTTATCCAACCAATCTAACCAAGCAAAGATATAGCGCCGCACTCGGATGGAGGAAATTTCCTCTCATGGACGCCCTCATGGGGCGTTCCACTATAGCGCAAACTGCTCTATCATTTGCTATTTATTATCTTTGATTTAACCTAGCTGTTGCTAGTTTAAAAAGGCTTTAGAAAATACAATTTGCGTTAACTTAAAATTTTTAATCACCTGTTTATTAATATTCAAAATATGTATATGGTCTTTGTTTGAACAAAGTTTGATAAATATCCAGGCACGGAAAATGACCAAAATTCCCGGACAGGAAAAACCTGTGCAAAAAAAAAAAAAAAGGGCAAATGTAATAGAAGAAAGAAAAAAATAATTAAAAGCAGTGGCTTTTTCTGCTAAAAAACTAATAGAACTAAGGAGAACATTTAAAATTCACACATTCACATTCATACCAACTTTGAATTTTATTGAGTGAAAAATAACTTTCTCTTTCACAAATAAAAATTGCATAGAGGGGATGTTTTGTGCAATTTTAGGTTATCCCTATTTTCTCTTTTGTGATCTGATTAGCTCATGTTTACTTGTTGTCTGTTATGTTTTTAAAATGAGAGCAAATGTGGTAAAGACAAGCTAAACCACTCACTCCTCGCAAATCGTGTTTCAGAGATTATGGCCAATGTTGGAAAGTCAAGTTTTCTACTAAATCTATTTTATTGCACTGAACGAAACTTTATATATCTACATCATGCTATGTTGCTATTTTCCCAATTTTTTACGTTAAAACAACATTTTTTAATGATGGTGTCTGCCTGAGAAATGGCTGAAATTGTAAAGGCTAAAGGCTGATTTTTCTCACATGATGTTCTTTAAACAATTGTATGTTTAAACTCCTGTAACTTCATAATAAAATGTCAGATTTAAATGATTCTTCAACCATTTTATAGCTTTTATTTTACTGCTTTACCCTGTTTTAAGTAACTAAAAACCTATTTTTTTGCAAGGAGTGACTGGTTTAACTTGTTTTGGCCACATATTGAATAAATCAAATCAAGTAAAAAATAATTCAGTCAACTTGTGCAAGGCATTCAACTTTGATGTGTTTATCAGTTGTAAAGCTTGATATTCATATTATTATTCAGAAATATAATGATATTTGCAGAACTTATAGGTGATTCCCGATTTTGACATCTGGGAATGAATGATCGAATGGATTGTCACTGTCCTATTAATGTATCAAACATATATAACACTGATTATATTTGCAGTTCGAATGTACTGTATCCAAACTCAATAATCTAATTAAACTGCTTTGAATATTTGTCAAAAAAACTTTCCCTTACATTCATCAGAAGTTGAATGCCTTACAAAGGAAATACAAAATGTTATTTCAATAAGATTCACTTATCAACTACTTTTACATTGTTTTTATAAGTTTTTTTTTTTTTTTATTAATGTCCCCAAGTGACTATATCACTTTGCATACAGTGTAATTTAAAAAGAATTAATAATTTAGTAGAAATATGGGAAATGCTTTTCCCATTCTGTTAAAGTACATTAGTCAAAACTTTGTTTTTCATTCGCAACTGGTAAAAAATCTAGGGTCGGACTGATTTCTGAGTGGTCGTGTGTTTGGCAACGTAACAATTTTCGACATATGCAGATTTTGATATATTTAATTATTTATTTTGTTTGTTTATTGTAGTTTCTAGCTGTAGTAGAGGAAATAAGGAGTGCATGTTTTAGTGTACTGTATGTATAATTCTATATTATTATTAACCACTATTTAATTTCTGGCAACTTCTTCAGACCCATATTGGTTGATGCTGTCAACAGTGGAGCTGGTTCTTGTACAAGTCTTCCTCTTGTCTGGAATTTACATCACCATGAAGTTAAATGAAGTGACAACTCTAGAAAGTGCCAGACGGGCTCAGAAGAGGGATTTATGGTGGTGAGTCAGTAACCTCTCTAAGGAATAGGCCTCCTACTAGACGGCAAATTCTTAATAGTATGGAGGAGTATTGAAGTCCTCCTTGATAGACAATCTGTTCGATATCCTTGAATAGCAATTTAAAAATTGGACTACCTACCACTAAAATTATTTTAACATTTCAATCCAAAAATATTATGTATGTGGGTAGTTGTGGCTTCCATCACAAGGGTTGAGGGTTGAATCCATTAATTTAGATCTGTAGCTTGGTGGTAAAAATATTTTCCTTCTAATCTCGGAGCTCAAAAAATTATCAAATGCACCAAGTGAGTAATATTCCAGATTAAAAAACTTTTGTAAAAACATTTTTGAGATATGATTTGACTATCTAACTGGAATGGCGAAAGTGATTTCAAAGATGGGAGGAGGGTGGAACAAACTACTTAGGCTATATCAAAACTTGTGTGGTCACTGTACTATATTCTCAAATCCTAGTGCTTACCTATTTTGGTTATTTGGCTTATCCTAGTGCCTTTTTTTTTTTTTTGGTATTTCTTAGCATTATTATCGTCTTTGAAATGTCAACAACTGCCACTGTCATCTTTGATAGCTACATGAAAGCAGGTGAGGTTAATTGCAATTAATTATAATAAACTCCAATTAATTATTGTGGTTACCAATTAATAATTAATATGTTTTTACATATTGTACACTGTACATCTTTCAGAAAGGAGGTTTAGGCCATTTTTCTCCTGTGTATCAAGGCTCCTTTCGTATCAAAGCTCTTTGTGCGTCAAAACCCCTTATAATAAAGAAATGCAGGCCATAAGTTTGTAGTGTACACACCATCCCCATAGTACATGGTGTAAGATGGAAATGTAAACAAATTAATGAACGGTTACTGGTTTTATCGCCCTCAATGGGTTCAACACATGATCAGATTTTATAGGATTTACTCACGACGACATAGATTAATGTGTGGATTTATGTATACTTAAGTGGTCATGACTATGATTTAAAAGATCCTGCTGCACTTTTCGGGAAAAAAGTTCCATTATTGTTATGAACGTAATGATTAGAAATGATGGTCAAGTACCCACAGTGACTCATTGTCACTACCAGTAAATTGATTGAGGGCACTATACAAAATTATAATTAATGTTGTATTTATTGTTATTATTTTCATTATTATTAATTTGTCAATGAATCAGGCATCTTTTATTTTGAAATTAATATCGATATCTTACAAAATGTAAAAAAGAAATGGAAGAATTTTAGAATTAAACCAATACTAAAAAAAAGAAAGTAAACTAAATCCTGACCTACCAACTCATTTTGTGACTGTGCTTGGATAATACTGCAAGTCTGTGACTTATTACCATTTTATTAAGGGATTTTTTTTTTTTTTTTATCTTTATTTCCACAGGTTTTGTGAATCAGGATGAAGGTGGAAGCTGCAGTGGTAATTTTGTAAGTATCACAAGATAATTGTCTTCATAAAAATGAAAAGTATGCATTTCAAATATAGCATTTTTTATTTTAAAAATCATATAAATAATGAAATTGATTCCGTATAACTATGGGTTTTTTTTTTTTCCAGAATCATAACCAGGTTTCATACAGTATTGTTTATCTCTTTGTGATGGTAAGTTAGACAAACATATTGTCTGCTTCTAAAATTAATGTGAATGCTACTGATCTACTATGGTTACTCACGGTTAAATTTGATTCTATGCTTTAAAAGGGTGTGGGGGTGGGGGGGAAAGAGGTCGGTGTAATTGACATGAAAAAATGTTTTATATTGCTATTACAGGGTATTTTTTTCCTTTTTATATGTTTTGTTAATCATAGAGTATATTAAGCGGATTTAACAACATTCATAATGAATGTTTCCAGATCAGAATGTCAATCAAACTTAACAACTGGCCAGTCAGAATCGGGCTAGGAATGCGCGTCTGTCATACAAACGTGCGTGTCGTCCCACAAATGCATGTCTTTACGTACGTTTACACTGTTTTGTGGGACCTTCACAACAATATCCAAGGGATGCGGCTTAGTGCAAAGGTCCATTGTTATATAAAAGTATTTTTATTCTTTTGATAGTATTGTATAAATGATTGAATTATATACCGGAAATTATGTATAATTTGATGATGAAGATAAAGGTGGTTTTTGAACCACATTATATATTATATAAAGAAATGAATTATTCAAATAAATTATTTCATTGTTTACTAGATATTCAAGTTAGTGATTCCAATCTTGGCATTATTGATTGTGTTCCACCCAGTGCAGAGAATCAACAATCCTGAAGGGTCACTGATCTGCTCCTTCCCAGGAGCAGACGATGGGGTAAGTACTGAGACAGTAGTCCGTACCCAGGGGGAAAATACACAAGTGGTCAATCGATTTGCTCCCCATTAACCTAAAATCTGTCTTCTGATAAGGAGAATTTGTCATGCTTTCTCTGCGTGTAGCTCAAGGCCTGCAAGTGGACTGTCATGTTTTGTGTGACAAATACCTGTCATTGCCCATATATGGGTGTGATATGACATCATCAAGACTATATATGGGCAGATCGCAAATATTTGTGATAGAGAGTATTGTAGTGTAAACAGACTGAAACAGAATTTGTGCTATATTAATCATGTTTAGTACACTTTTTAAAAATTTCTTTTTAAGCCATACTATATGTAATAAAGTTGCAGTAGTAAGTTATGCAATACAACAATACAATACGTAAAGTCTGCATGATAATAACAATGACAAATTTTGTCTATTCTCTTTAAGACATTTTCATCAAGGTTCAATTCTGTCAGAGGTCTGTACCGCCCTTTGTACCATCCTGAATCTCATGGATTCAACTACGGCACTGTTAAGGCTCCAGTGGTCTCGATAGGCCCTAGAAGAACACTGACTGATCCAGCCCTGCCAACGATCCAAGAATCAGCCGAAGAATACAAAGTCACAAACTCTGGAACATCGGCATAGACACTCTGGATGTTTTGTATATTATGTAATTTTCATCTTAAAAATGTACATTTAACCAAATCATATAACTTATACCTACTAATTTTAAACTTAATATTAGCATTAATCTACTGATAATTATTCTGTAATAGACATCATTTAGGTTAAAAATGGTAGCCATATTCTGTACATTGCTTCCATAATCTAGAATACACAATCACTTGTCAATGCCTACTGCAATGCATTGTCAGCGGGTCCTGCATACCTTAACGTGATGTCATTAATTTGATTGACAAGGATCATTGTTTGGATTTAGATTTTTAGCTGGCAGGTTCATAATATCTTCATCAAACTGTTACTTAAAGTAATTGCAATCATAACCAGTTAACACAAACATTATATCCTTTTTCGTTGGAAGACATGTCAGTGCTACATATTTACTTTCATCTGTTCCTGATGTTTCTGGTAGTAGTTCTTTGTTGACAGTTTTAAATCTGATGAGGTTGGTGTTTGTTGACAGTAGTTTACCATTACAATTAACACAGCATATCAGCTTTGGAACTTTGTAACTCTAAAGATATGTTTTTTATCTGTAGTTTATAGACATCAACATTTGTTATGGTTTTGTCAGTTGTATTAAGATCCATCATCTGTCCCATTATGTTGTGATTGATTCAGATTAGCTCCAATGTACTACAATTCCTAATATGTACGGTGTATAGTCCTGGAAGGTACATAGCCATCTCTCTCAATTATCAAGTTCTTTTTCTCAGTATGCTACATATGTAGTACTGTACTCTAGATATATTCTGTGAGGTGTATTGGCGTACCGCTACTCTTCTAGGTCTTCTAAGGAGCTATACACATCTAGATGTGTATAAGAGACAGGTATATGAGCTAGCTTGCCTCTAGAATGAAGCCTTAAAAGTTTAGAGGTAACATCAGCTGATTATTGAATGTGCAATAAGAGATAAAGTATAGTGGAAATGATTTGGTGTCCCAACCTCAAGGTCCGGATTTCGTTTCGCAACCTCAAGGTCAGGGTTTCAATCCTTTGCTGTGCATTTCGCTTGTGTCCGTGAGCAAGGCACTTTGTCTGCATTGCTTCTATCCACCTAAGAGTATAAATGGGTAACTGGTGGGGTTGCCTGTGCTGATTACCAGCAGCAACACTTAAATCATGTGGACCCAGTGACCAGGGAAAAGAGATGCGCGTAATAACCGCAAGGAAGGCCCGCTTTATAAACGCCTATATCAGTACCAGTGTAGAGAAAAAAAAAGCAATCTTGAATGGAACGGAGCATATTATTGTTACCATTGACAATAATGTAAAAAAGGAAAAAAAATGACATAGGCACGTAACAGTATTGGCTCTAAGATAATATTTGTCAATGAAACTGCCACTGAAAACTCAACTAATTTGCAGTTATTTATTGTCATGTTTCATACTTGCATAAAAGTATTTGGAAATAAGAAATAACATAGTTTAATGACCTGCTATAAAACTAGTATGTATCCTGTTAGCTGATAGTGAATTATTTTTATGAACGCCAGCCAGAGAATGTTACTGGCAGGTTTGAGACTACTATATGAAAGCACTGTGGCTTTGAAATCTCTTTAAATATGTAATTATGATGTTAACAGCAAATTCATTTATGTTTTATTATATTGGTATTTTTAAAATCAGATATGTAAATTGAAAGCTTTTTGTAAATGTTTTTTTTTTAAATCAGGTGTGATTTTTATCATTCCATGTTATTTGTTTTTTTAATTTATATGTAAATTTTATTGTGATATTTATGGTAATAAGGCCAGGAATAATAATTATATATAATTTATAGTCTCATGTAAATTTTGCTCTTTCCAATAGAAATAGATCTGATAGGGATAGATTAAAATATAGCGAAAATATTATTAACAGAACTGAACAAGCCATAATGATTAGGTATGAAGTATTATAGAAAGATTATTTAAAAAAAATAGACAATCTAGGTGAAATTTTCAGTAAAAACAAGATTTTATTTCTGTTTTTATATATACTGGCAAATTTATGTTGAGGACCTTTGCTATTGTTATCGCATATTATAGTCATATACGAACTATGATTTAGTGAGTAGAGGCATTTTAGGATTTGAACCCAAGACCCTGAAATTGAAAATCAAACATCTTTACCATAAAGTTTGGATTGGATTTATTCGGTGTAAACACCAAGGATACCCCACGAAAGTCTGAAGAAGACTTAATACCTGTGGGGTCCTTCTGGTGGTGATTGTGCAGTACACCGGGAGACAATCCCCTACAGTTTTACGAACAGTCTACTTCGTTCTTTAACATGCACACAAGCAATATTGCACACAGGACCAACGTCATAAATGTCTCCAACCGAAAGATGCCGCACTATCGTAACTTTCATTTCAGCCGTATAGCTGAAACACACAAGGAGAGCAGCCAATTGAACCCTGCGGTCCAAGTGATCTCCGTGGTTTAGCAAACGTGTCTACCACCACTTTAGCTGGCTGAGCTATGTTGCTCTCTCAAGTATTCCTCTACATAAATAGACTTTTTTAACAATTTTCAAAATATGCTATAATTATTTTCAAGATTTTTACCCACATAAAATTTTTAAAATTTAAAATAAAAGTTTAACATGCTGTAAAAAAGTGCGGTGGCTCCAGAAATTTGCTGAAAAGAGGTCGAACGAGCCTCAGTCAGGGTCTCGGAATATAAAATCCTTGGTAAGGGTTCACAGGGTGAGGTTTTATAGCTTAAGTGGCCCAAATAGTGTTTTTAGCCCAAAATATTAGGGATGGGCAATTAAAATAACTTTATTCGGATAGGTAAATTATTATTTTTGATCTGACGACCACATCGTGGTGTTGGACGAGGGCTGTCTGACGGGGATGGGGGTTGGCAAATCCCCCCAGTTACACTGTTTAAAATTGTTACCATGTATAGATGTCCTCAAATAATTATGTACTATGTTAGTGTATGTAGTGTATTATAATTGTATATATTTAACATACTTGACAGTTGCTGTAATAAAGACAAGATACAGTATTGTGTGCTAGAGTTTTAATAATCTAATGAAAAGAAAAAAACTATAACATAGTAATATTCATGTTGAGATATTTTTTATAGACTTGGTTTACAGCAGAGTTTCATGCTTTGACATTTTTAAAGTCAAACATGAATGTTATCAAAGATGATTTGTAATGACTCTACCTCAGTATTGTGAAAAGAAAATTAATATAAATCATTTAATTATTATTGTATTTTTTATTTCTTTCAGATAATATAACATAATTTTCATCACTTCAAAATCTATATGTATATTTCAAAGTGGTTGCTGTTGATTACCATAATTCCATTTGAATTGTGTAAATAGTGTATATTTTACTGGTAATAACCTCAAATTTGCATACAGTATTCTAGTGTTAAGGGATTGGAATGCACCCTAAAAAAATTGCTGTGTGATAGGCATTTTAAAGGTTAAAGTTTGGTTTCCATAAAATCGTTACATGCTATTGCTGACAGCACTTGGTGACTGATTGATCGGGGAACCTTTATGATTGTGTTGGGGACAGCTATACAGTGTAGCTATTACAATAGAAATAGCGATAGTGTAGTGATTTCATGGAAACAAGGCAATATATACCATGTATCAAAAGTATTATAGTACAGTTTATTGAAAGATAATTATATAATTTTTTTTTATGTATATATATGTATATATATATTGCTCACTTTCGTAAAGCAGGGGTCCCAAGTTGGAAGAATCCACACCCATGAGATCGGTTTAAATGAGATTTCTTAACACATTCTGCTGCTGTAGATGGTGATACCCATTGGCACGGACAATCCGGGAGACAATTGATAACGTATTAAAAATTGATTTCAAAAAATGCAAATATCGTGAGTGTGCAGGAGATGGTTTACATTCCGGGAGATTCTTGTTTGCTCGCAGGAGTGCGGGAGGCCTTCCAGATATCTGCGACTTCCGGGAGACTTGGGAACCCTGATAAAGTTTGCTGTTTATTATTTGTACATAAAGTGTTAATCTATGAAAGTATATCAAAATCTGCATTACTCAACACTAAGCTGTTAGTGTTAGTGTAAACTCATTTCATGAGATGTTTGTTAATGGCATTGTTATTCAGAAAATTGTGCCTTAATTATCGACTATGTATTTAAAATTTCATCAGCTTTTTATTGCTGCAATCACAGATTATAAACTTCAGCTTTCATGTTGCACGATTACAATCAGTTGATTCCCCACCCCGGATCAAGGGAAGGGATAGATTGACAATGTTATATTATCATAATGGTAGTGTTGTTATGGGGTTATGCCCCACAGTGATTAAATTGAACCCTTAGTGGGAAGGAAATGTGTTTAGGATTGTAATGAACACTTTTGCTCCTTTTCAAATGTTCATTGATTGGTTGATTGATTGATTTATCTGTCCTCTGAATATACATTGTAATTTTGTTGCTAATCCAATTATGATTCTAGTAGGTGCGCTTTCAGCTAGAATTTGTGCCCTAAATTTACTGAAATTAAATTAACTAATAATGTGGATATCTAATTAACTGACATATAATATAAGACAACACAGACCTAACTCCCTCACAATTTGCAGCCGACTCTCAATGAGTCATAGTAAAATTTTGCTTAAGCTGCCCCGACCAAAAATTTTTGTTGTACTGTACCTTTTGTAAATGTGTATTGGTCGAATAAATAAATGAATGAAATGAAATGAATTATTCGTTTGGTATAAAAAAATAATACTATATTTCATTATATACTCTACTGGATGTATATTTATAACTATATATTTACCATAACTAGCATTAAGAGTGGATGTTCAGCCGTATAATTCAGTGCTTTATATCCACTGTACACACAGATAAAAATGTTATCACGCATTTTAAGCAGCTTAAGAAAATAACATTTTTATTGATATATTTGTATTCAGTGAATATATGCTGGATTACACATTATATTATTCTATAATGCGTCTTAATATCTCTCGGTACTTATTACTGAGTTTTTGATTGTGCATTCAATGTTTATTTGAGTGTTGTCATATTTTTTGCCAAAGATAAAATGTCTTGGCATAGGTGTTGAATAGCGGATTACGCTTTTTAAAAGGAATAGAATGAAATTCTGGATGGGTAAAGTAATTATTCTGACATGTGTTTTCATAAGTCTACTTGAAAAGGGCTGCTCATTAAATTAATATTAAAATCAAGGGTTCTGAACAGCCACCAGAAAAGGCATATAAAAATTTGTCTTTGAAATCATTTCATTTAGTCTTCGGATTTTTAACGTGAAACTTGTGTGATACTAGTGGCCATTTTCAAGGATTGGAATTCAGAAACTAATGTACATATTTCTATATTGTTGACTAATGTCACTGCCTTGGCAAGCGATGTCAGTGTAAGCTCGGCCTCTGTGGCCTTGCTGTATGTAGAGTGGGATTATTTGGTACAGGTGGAAAAAACTGAACAACCTTTTTCCTGTAGTCTACTTCATGAATACTTCCCAGTTTTATGAATAGCAAAATTAATTACGTACAGGTGATTGACAATTATGAAAATTATGAAATTATTTATTAACATGAAAGTCAACATCTATGTGGCAATCAAAACCAACAATAGGTAATTAAATTTAGTAATCAGTTATATACAGTAGTATCATTAATATATACTCTATTGACCTTGGTTTTGTAAATATTTTTATTGTATTATTTTTTTTTTTGTATGGTTATAATTATCACATGTACATATGTAAATAGTATTTCCATGCTTTTCTTTTGTTACTCTAAATGTTTTTAATAAAAATCATTAAAAACAAAATCAAGTTGATAAATTAATCATTTTACTCATAAACTATTAAAATTTGTGATCGTTTTTGTAGCATGTTAAGTGCTTGCATGATTTTTAGCAATATATTCAATATATATTTGGATTTGACTTAGGCCCTGCCAGTAGTTCTGCATCTGACGCTTATCCCCCTGAATGTTCCTTAAACCAACCAACTCAATTTCATAAGCCTCAATGAGCCATAAGAAAGGAAGCCAGCCAAAATAAAAGAGACACTAACAGCAATGAAATCAATCTTGTATATTGATTTTAATTGCAATCTACATACAATTACCAAAATATTTTGATAACTTTTTAGCATTCAAGTTTTATAGCACCCCAAGTAATTTTATCTACATCTTTCTACAAAATAAGCTGTGTTGACGAATACTAAGCTTATGTAGCTGAGCCAAGAAAATGTATTTCAATGAAAAATATATATAAATGATAAATGCAAGACTTGGGTTTACATATTACTCTAATTACTCTATATATATCCAACATTAATTATTAGGCAAAAAGACAATGCTGGACTAGTACACCATAATAGTGTAAACAAAAAATAGATGACCAAACATTTGTTGAACCTGGGTCTGTCATCCGACATTTAAGATTAGGTGGGCAGGCAGGGTGTAGTTGAATGCTTATGAATTATTCCAATAGGTCTCTGATCCTCGCTTTCTCACATACTCTCCATCGAAACTCTCCAAAGCCCCACATTGCCCTACACTCAGAAATTAATCTTCCCCTCGCATCCCACACCTCCATCTTATGCTAACTCTTCAATCACCTTCCACTCATCATCATCCATCTGCTACGCTGTCTCATCTTGGATAGCCATTGCATAATTATGCTAATTCCTTCCACGACTCACTAGTTGCATGGTCACCGCAAACTGCTCATTTTGCATCCCAATCCTCAACTTAACCTAACCTATACCCACACCTCAATCTTACACTAACTCTTCAATCACCTTCCACTCATCATCATCCATCTGCTTCGCTGTCTCATCTTAGATAGCCATTGCATAATTATGCTAAGTGCTTCCACGACTCACTAGTTGCATGGTCACCGCAAACTGCTCATTTCGCATCCCAATCCTCAACTTAACCTAACCTATACCCACACCTCAATCTTATACTAACTCTTCAATCACCTTCCACTCATCATCATCCATCTGCTTCGCTGTCTCATCTTGGATAGCCATTGCATAATTATGCTAATTGCTTCCAGGACTCACTTGTCACATGGTCACCTTCAACTCGCCACAAAACCATTTCCTCAAAGAGCGATTGATAGTTGGATATATCCTTAATATATCTCACTGTACGACTAAGTTACCATTAATTGTGTAAAGCTACAACACATGAAATTGTTTGTCACAGCATCAGTATAACTGGATGCATATTTACAAAAGTTCTAAAACTGAAGTTGAATTTTTTTTTTAGATTATGTTCAAATCATTGGCCCTTTGGTGGTGGGTTAGATTGTAGTTGATTGAATAGTCTGTTCTTGATCACTTGGGACATCAGTCCATGGATTGCTTCTATAGTTGTTTTGCACCTTAAAAGAAGAAAAAAAAAAAAAACAGTTATTACTGTAGTCGGTGTATTTATGGCACAGAGGGCAGCAAAAGCATTCATTTTGTACAATCATATTCCATCAGTAATAACAGGGACATAGTATTGCCATAAAGATTTAAGATTCCCTTTTAAATTAGGCGAGACTATTTTAGACCTTGTTTAGCGAACCCGCCGACTGCAAATATTGATGATTTTAAATAAAAATAAAATTTTATTTTTGCACAATTAGTGCACCCGCCACCATAAAAAAGTGAAAATTTTAAAAAAAAATAATTTTTTTTATTTACTTCTATCCCGCCCTTCGCTGCCTTGAAATTGCCAAAGATAAAATATGTATATTTCTCTCTATTCCATAAAATAATTGAAGCATTTAACCATCCTATTTTACATTTACCAATAAAATTTATTTTTTATTTTCTCCTCCGTCTGGGTGATTTTAGCAAACCTATTTGGTAAATAAGAAATCAAAATTTTATTTTTATTTTTATTCCGCCCTCCTCTGATAATCTTTAAAAAAATAAGTACAGTAGAACCTCGATTTTACGTACGGTACGGGACCGGAGGGCGTACGTAAATCAGGGGATTCGTAAAATAGAGGTTGGTTTAAATTTGTGGTAACCTTTGACCTAATACGTACGTAACGCTCAATATACGTATGTATGAACGAACGATGTTACCTAGCTAGGCTAGACCTAGCCTCTAGGCCTACGAATAAAACCATGTGTTTAGTGTTTTTATTCATCACTTTACGATGTCATAATAAAGTGTTCAAATAAAACCATGTGTCTAGTGTGTTAATTCATCACTTTATGTCTTTTATTTAACTAAAGAACATGAAAATATTGTAAGATTACCTATACGACAAAGGTATAACTTGGGAATTCCCCTTCATGCCTATTTTAAACAACAGAGCTGCGGTGTTGTGTGGGCCTGTTGAGACAAACTAAACCCAGGTGCACTGGGCGAGCCAACCAATTAGCGTTCGTGTACGTGAAACAGCAAAACCATGTGCACTGCACTGGGCGAGCCAACCAATTAGCGTTCGTGTACGAAACTATGCCTACTCAGTTTCGTGTAGAAAATTAGACCAGACAAGTTTTTCCATGGTTTGCCACACGAAGCTAGGGAGGAAAGCAATTATTTTGAGCACCATCGGTAGTTGTTCATCCCACTCAGTTCACGTGGTTTTAGATTATAACAACCTGTTATTAGACTCAATCAACGTTGCTGTTTAATGAAAATACGTTGCATTTTATGGTTTGTTTATTGTTATAGTTTATTGTTAGTCTTTTTACTTATGATTGCTCTGAAAAGGGCCGTTTGTTTTGAATATTTTTGGGGTTTTTGATGACATCATCGTAGATACGAGGCGTACGTAAAACCGAGGGTTCGTATAACTGGGGTACGTAAAAACGAGGTTCTACTGTACACGAAACAAGGAATAAAAAGTGTCTCGCCTTAGATTAAAGAACAAAACAAATTTTATATTCAGTACATTTTCAACTGTCTTAAAAGATCTTCCAGGTCTTGTTTGTAGTGATGTCAATATAAAAAAATAAAATAAAACAGATACAATGGATTAAAAGGGGCTTGCCAAATTAGCCATATGTATTATGTAATTGACGGTTAGTGGGGGCGGTTTGGCGCAGTGAAAATGGTTTGGTTTCCCAACCTCGAGGTTGGGATTTCAATCCATCACTGAGCATTTCGCTTGCATCCTCAAGCAAGGCATTTTACCTAAATTGCTCCTGTCTACCCAGCTGTAAATTGGTACCAGCGAATTGCTGGGAATAACCTGCGGTGGACCAGCGTCCCACCCAGGGGGAGCATCAAGCTCTCATCTGCTTCACGCTACTTGAAAATGGGGATAAGCTCCAGAACTATGAGCCCCAAGGCTAGGCAAGGATTTATTTTTTGTGCAAGTAACTTGACTTACCCATCCTTTGCAGCCTTCCCTAGCTTGTCCTCTGCCTTCTTGTCTTGGTCAATGCCCAACATGAAGTTTCCACGGCTTAATTGTGCTTCTGCTTGCTCTAGCTTCTCTGACAAGTCATACACTTGTCCTGTCGTGTAGTCAGAATTCTTAAAAAGAAACGGTAGATACATACTATAGTATAAATTTGCAGTACACCACATAAATAATTTTCAGAACTGATGTGTTGAGAGTATCTGAACGTTTTGAATACACTGCTCTATTCCTCTTCAGAAGACATTGAGAGACTTTCAAGACATCAGTTCTTCGCTGTACCATTTATGTGTACGAAAATTTACATTATTGTTTATTGACCATGCAAACCTTTAATAAATAGACACTGTAAATAAATACAAGTAACAAATAGCTAGATAAATGGTTTAGATGATGAAGTTGTGAATGGATGGATGGATGGATGGAAGAATATGGTTAAATAGATGCATGGATATACTAACTGATGGATACGTACACACACACATAAATTTACATACAAAATTTCATGTACAGACACAATGTAGATAGAAAGTAAAAGGTACATAGTTACAAGATTACAGCACATACAACCAGATTTTTATTTTTCGTTTGTGTCAGGAAAATATCATAGAAGTTTTTTTGCAAGTATTTATTTGGGAACATACTGAGTATTCAGTACAACAACACGTCAGGTAGGGCAAAACATCATTTCTATGGATTTTTATAGCTCCAAGAGATATAGTTTGAAACGTATATTTCAAACAAAAACAAATGTTGAATAAGAAACTAACAGTTAATAGACTAGAGGAGCTTAGGGTGTTCACCCAGTATTTATTCCATAAAGATTCCAACAACTTCCTATCCAATGCTGATTTGAAGTATGATATCTCCAGTGAGTAATATTGCTTGCAATGCACACCAAAGTCCTCAATCTTGTTCAATGGAATGGTCTGGTACTCTGAAGGGCCCTCATCTGGTGGTTTATAACCCTTGATAGAAAGAAAATCATCATTTAGTAATCATACATTAACAGTAGATTGTATTCATTCTGTGATGCATTTTAGTAACAGTAATGGTGGTAGTACTGTGGTAGCTCTGTAGTAGTGCTAGCAGCAGCATAATTAGCAGCAACAGTAGCAAAGGCATCAGTAGCATCATGAGCAGCAGCAGCATGATTAGCAGCAGGCGCAACAGTAGCAGCAGATGCATCAGTAGCAGCAAGAGTAGCAGCATCAGTTGCAGCATAATATTGTTGTACTGTAATGATATCAGTAGCAGCAATGTACTTCTCATAATTATGCTAGTGGTGATTTGACCTAAGGTAAAACTACAGCTATAGTAGTATTGGGCATTTTAACATTTGCAATCATAGTTGAGAATTCAATGGCAGGTTGGCCAAATAATCTTAACATACCTTTGGATAAGTTCTAAATGCTCCTATGTTTACTTTACCAGCAGAAATCGTTCTGGTAGGATCAATCTAAAATACAATAGAAACAATAAAATGTTTAGCTCAATGTTTGCCTTATCTTTAAACAATGAATGTATGAAAGTCAAATTTATTAGCTCGATATTTGGAAGTTAAAATGTTGGACATAATAATAAAAAGGCTGTAAATACAGACTGTATATCTAGTTACTGTACTGACTAATGGTCTGATGAATTACCCAAATGAAATTGAATTACCTTAATGAAATTATTCATTTGGGTATTCATTTGAGGTAATTCTTTTTTATTTGGGTAAATTGCTGTTCAATTAACAAGGAACATCAATGGGCAAACAAACTGTTGTTACCTTCCCTAACTATTTCTTTAAGTACTGGAGGTGAGGGTGATAAAAATGGATGAGCTAACTAAAAGGTATACCCAACATTTGTTATGTGTAACGGATAAAATCTATCACCCAATAAAGGTAGGGTAAAGGTAGGTAAAAATAGACACAACAACATCTGAGATTATGTCTTTTTTTGCAAGCAAAAAAACTTAAAAAAAAAAATATAATTCAGTGAAACCTACATTTCCTTAATATTTCTATATACTTACAACAATTGCAACGAATGGCTCTTGGAATTGTTGATTTAACATCTGTGTGCTGACATCAATGCCCGACAGCCAACAGCCGTAGCCTGGGTGACTATGGTACCAACCGATCGCATTCTCTAAACGGCCAACCTGCTTTGCGCTTTCTATATATGCAGCCATGTATTCGTAGGCTGCAGCTTGGGCATTGACCCTCGTCTCGGTTCCCTCCACAGGCAACGCGAAACAGTCCATTACTATCATAGTTTCACCGTCAACCTGAAATTCAAAATGTTTTTCTTTATACTAGATATCAGTCAATCATTGGCCTGCAAAATGTAATTTCCATAACAGTTACATACATGTGAAAGTCCCGGCCACCTCCCGGCAATCGTTTTAACATACATTCCCGGATAAGTTCCCGCTACTTATTGCCGTAGTCCTGGTAAAATGCCCTGCTAATAAATGATTGGATGATAAGACCTACTTGAAGGTCAAGCCTAGGTCTGAATCAGAGAAGCATGTGAGAGCTAGGCAGGAGCTAGGCCAAGGAGATGAGCTTGCTTGATGGAAGCACTACGCATGCGTATCACTAACCAGATTTCCATGGAAGTTTGGAAAAATGCGAAAAAAATAAAAGGAGTGTATTGATAGATTGATCATAGAAAAAGAAAATACTCAATTGATTGATTTAACTGATTGATAGAATTTAATTATTTTATTATTTATTTAAATTTTATTATGCAATTTATACCGTGATCTATAATCGACAAGTGAGAGAGTGGCCTTTGACTGCCTAGGCCTAGGAAGTACGCTTAGGTTAGGACCTAGTCTAGGTCTACTTGGTGGTTACTCTTTTCATTATTACGTTTTTTTAGGCATCATAGAATCTATGTAAGAGGTATATAAAGCAAATATTGACTGCTCTAGATTTGGGGAACAGTGAAATCTATAGCAACTCGGTGATGTGGAGACCGTAGCCTACTATTTTCCTCGGCCCTCTAGAAGATAGCAGACTACGGTCTCCACATCACCTTGAGGCAATAGATTTCACCATTCCCCTCATGAGCAGTCAATATTTATATACTATATATATCTAAAGTAATGCTGATTTGTAATTACCTTTCCTAAAAGAAGACCCATCACCTCGAGAGTTCCACCTGACCTTGCATGCATCACCATCTTCAGTAGAGCTAATGCAGAGATCTTTATGTATTTAAAGTAGTGATTACTGGGGAAATAAATATTTAAAGTAAGCAGCATGCAGAAAATAAATGACAATAAGAAATATGAATATGTATGAGGCACTGGTATGTCTAATACATATTCATATTTATTAAATTAATATGTATGAAACATTGGTATGTCCTGTATTATAAACAACTCACTCTTTTGACCATGGTTTCGCCGCAAGGATAAACTGTTGTTGCTTCTTGTCATACTTGTATATCTCATCTCCACTCTGAACTTGTACAATATTGTTTGACATCTCCCATGTTTTCTGGGCAATTTCAGAATCCATCTTTTTACTAAAAAAAAAAAAAAAAAAATAGAAAAATCATTGGTTTTTATCGATAAATGTTTGTTGATAAATTACCAAACTACGATTTATCATTATAGTGAAAACACAGCTATGCCCGAAGCCAAACTGTAATAAGGCTTGTATGGGAAGAATTATATCGCCGTGAAAATATTAGGCCTAGAATTAGGAAAATAAGTGCTGATTTTTACCAAAAAATAAGCCTTGGCCTATCTCTCAATGTACAACCAATGTATAAGCTTGTTTTATAATGTTTATAATGTTTATTTGTTAATTGTTTTTTTTTTCACATCTATTACAAAATTATTTAGATGTTTCATTTTGTCTATATTTTAAAGTGTTATTTATTATTATTATTATTATTATTAATATTATTATTTCACGTTTTTTACTTTTATAAATCCATTGATTGATTGATCAATTGATTTTGTCTGTATTTGAAAGTTTTATTTATTTGAATGTTTATTGCTTTTAGACTGTTTTCCCCAAACATTTTATTGTTAAATTTGTATGTTATATTATTATTATCATTATTATTATTTAATTGTTATTATTATTATTATTAAATTATTATTGTTTATTGTTGTCGTTATTTTGCGTTTCTTTACTTCTATGACAATTTACCGCATTTAATCATTGTACACTTTCATGTTATTGTTTGGCCTCATTTTGTCCGTTATGACAATTTTTTTTATTTCTATGACAATTTAGCCTCATTTTTACCATATTAATCGTGCACACTTTGTTTATAATTGGTTTTATGTAGGGCCACTTAAAGAAAACTTTCATAGACCATGTTGGTTTATTGCCGTTTGTTTAGGTAAGCCTATAATTACTGTTTTGACTTGTTGCTGTTTTGTTCCATTACCGTTTTGTTTATTGCCGCTTTGACTAGAGGCTGAGGCCTAGGGCAGCCTAGCTAGCCTAGCCTAAAGGCTAAGCCCTAAGCCTAGTCCCTCCTCTCTCACCTCTAGGCCTACTCAAACATTGAGTGATACTGCAAGTCGGAGTTTTTCAATTACACAATCAAAATGTGAGGCCTGAAGGTTGAAGAAAGCTATGACATACCTTGGGCCTAGACAGTCATATGCATTTATATGACTGGTGCTGCACTGTGACTACTGTAAGTTCCTCAAGGACTAAATGAAAATATCAAATCTGACTCATCATAGTATGTGTGACGAGAGCGCATTTTATACGCACCTGCATATAGGACAAGGCCTAGGCTAATTTTTAGGATTATAGTAGTACAGCAACACTAGGCCTAGGCCTATACCCTTCACAAATATTGCTTACACTCTATCATCATATGTATGTCTAGAATCTATCCAGCCAAGCCGAGAGGATATTAATTAAGTAAAGCCTATCTAGGCAATGACAAGTACCAAAAACAATATTTTTTGACAATGCATTTTGTAAGTTTTACTTCTATGACAATTTAGCCTCATTTTTACCATATTATCGTGCACACTTTGTTTACAATATGGCCACATTGAAAATATGTTTTAATTCTTCAAGAAAACATTCACACCTTTTTGGTTTATTGCCGTTTGACTTAGGTAAGCCTATAATTACTGTTTTGACTTGTTGCCGTTTTGTTCCATTGCCGTTTTGGTTTATTGCCGTTTGACTAGCTAGAGGCCTAGCCTAACTAGGGCGGTGTAGAGTCGTTTTGGCCCTGAGTCGATTCGGCCTGGGTCGATTCAGCCCCGGGTCATTTCAGCCAGAGTCGTTTCGGCCCACGTCATTTCGGCCCTGAGTTGTTTCGGCCCTGAGTTGGTATTTTTATCATGCATTTTGGCTGCGGTGTATAGAGCGCCGAAGGTGCGGCCGCAAATAATAATTTAATATAATAAGGTGGCTAAGCAGTATACCGTTTGTTAAACATGAAACTTTATTATTATTATTATTGTTTTTATTATTATTACTATATTATTATTAAAGAGTTAAAGAGTTCATTGCAGTATCAAATGGTGTTATCTTTCTTTTTAAAGAAATAATGCAAACGTTACAAGTCGATTGGTTTGGAGACACGTTTCTTTTTATCGTTTCCATAGGATATTTGGATCATGTTTAAAAATGCTTCAATAAAATTTAGATTTATAAAATAAGTAGGCTTATAGTTACGGTAATTTACCGGATTAGTTTGTCATAAGTTTGTTTTGTTTTTTGTTTTTTGGTTTGTTGCGTCTCCATTTACATTACCAAATGTTCTATTTATAATAGATACATAGGCCTATATAAAATAAATTAAAATATACTGAGTGATGTGATAATGAAAATAAAGCAAATATATTATTGTATTCATAAGGCCGACATATTAATCTTTGCATAGAAATTAACTAAAGAAATTATGAACTACACTGCAGTATAATTTGAGGAAAGAAACGTTTTCAACAATTAGGCTTATGTTGAGGTGAAGCAGACACATGGTTTGTATCTTCTTGTTTGTTTTATTTCCATTGTCGATACATATTTTGATTAGGCATGTTTATAAAATACACAAATAAATGGAAATAGTAAAATATAGTTTAAATAAAATTTATAGGCCTACAATGTTAATGGCTGTTTCAGACTTCTTTTGATATTAAGTAAGCCGGAAATTTCACTCACAAGGCCTATTGTTGCATGGAAACTAACTTTAAAAAAACTATAGACTGGCTATTTTTAGGTGCAAACACATGCCATGGCAGTGAATGTGTATGTGTGTGTTCACCTCTCTCGTCTATGGTTCCGATTAAAATAAAATTATTCAACTTTGTTTAAGCTTTAATATTTCATTTACCGTATATGGACAGAGCCCCTGCCGGCAGGAGCGGATCCAGAGATGTCTGACAGGGGAACCGAAAATGGGGCCGATCGAAATAACACCGCCCTAAGGGGAGGTCCGCGAAATATTTGTTATAGACATATGCTTGAATGTAACCTCTGAGGCGTTTTGGGCGATCAATTTTTTCCCCTTTTTGAAACTTCCTGAAAGAGTGACGGGGCTGAGGACGACCCCGGCGCTGTGTAGCCTCGATCTCCCGCCTCCCCCCTTTTGACATGATGTACTGTTGTTTTTGTAAATTCTAAAATGATGATAATGATGAAATATTGTTTGAAGGTTTGCATGTTGAAGTAATGCTGACGGTACAACGTAGATTGGCCTAGTTCTGAAAAGATTTTTTTTTTTTTTTTTTTTAAGAATGTCTCATTTTTTTGCTGATAAATGAAATTACTAGCCGCGAAAACAAACATATGAAATTCAGATATATTTCATTTAACAATTAAAATACCGCAACAAAACACAAAAGCCTTTATTAAGGATCATTTAGAAATTGATAATATAATTGTACTGTCTTGTACACTTGACTTTTCACTATTGGGAACTGCAAGAAAAAGAACATTGTTTTGAATAACCACATACTGTAAAATTATACTCAAACTAATCATAAATTTCTGAAACAATAACAATTGTAAAACTTAAATAATAATCATACAGACAAATACAAAAAAGAAAAAGTATTATATATAGTCAAGGATCGTAAAAAAAGACCAAATTTAAAATCATACAAAAACACAAAAAAAAAAGCTCTTTAAAAATACAGAACCCAAATAAACCACAGTGCGTATTTGGTGCTCCATACCAATGCAGCTGTTAATTGCAATCGAAATGCTTACAAACAATAATAGGGCGCGAGCACTTTTGACCCGGGTTGTTTCGGACCAAAAAGGCCCGAAACGACCCAGCCGAATCGACTCTGGGCCGAAACGACCCGGAACCCTCAAACATTGAGTGATACTCCAGTCGGAGTTTTTCAATTACACAATCAAAATCAAGGTCTCTACAGGGCCTAGGCTAGCTCTCCAAAGGCTAAGCTAGGGCGGCTAGGCCTAGCCTAGACCTAATAACCGAATGGCCACACTCACTGTCTGGCACTGCCACTCACGAGGGTGTTAGGCTAGGCCTAGCCTAGCAACAAATTGCACCAATTAAAAGAAATACCAGTATTTCCAACTAAAGCATATTTAAAGAGAGTCCCCTCTCTTACCTTTTATTGAGTATCTGAATTGTTTGAGTTAGGTTCAGAGAAAAACTTCTTCAACCATGGAAGAAGATGGAGTAAAGGTTTTGATAAAAAGTGAAAAGTGAACGCCACCTAAACGCCACCTACCGGTGGGGGAACCAGTCAATTTGAGCGGATGCCACTTCGAGCGAATGGGCGCCAGTTCGAGCGGATTCGAGCGGAATTTATTCGAGTATAAGTATATAAAGTATGCCATCATGTATCTTTTATTTCATTCTATTTATTTTGCTGTAAAGAATCTTGTAACCGATAAAATGTATACCTTTCTCAAACTGTGTCATTACTACTCTGTTCGATAATTACACTGCTTACCGCATATTTGAATTTGATTCTTTTTTTTTTTTTTTTTTTACTCCATCGTTAAGCTTATTGTTTAATTTCACATTTATATTAATTTGTTAATTAAGTTAATTAAGTTAGTTTTTTTTAATCTCTTTATCTTTAATTTTCTTGTAAGATCGTCTACATTTTGTTCATTTTATGTATATTGTATGGACGCACCACCTTGCTAGGTGTGTGCCACTGATAAAAGTGAGTTCCAATAAATACTGAAAACAGGCTTCGGTCCGTGTTCGATCTCTATAACCGCGCTACGTCTGTTTACGAAATACGAAATACGAAATATATATATAATATATAATAAGGTTACTGGCTTCATTATATATAAATAAGGAAGGGGAACACATCATTATATATAAATAATGAAAAATAACTTACAATTATTTATAT